ACATATTTAATGACATCAGAAATGTTTTTAAAGTGATGTTAAATTAAAACTGTAGATCAAGAAACTGATTTCAATTTCATTCAAACCATATAAGCTTAGAATCAAACTGAAAGCAATACACTGAAGAGTTAACTATTATTGTTGCTCTGTACTTTTGTGGGGGGGGAGGTCAGAGGTTTTTTGTTTGGTTTGGTTTGGGTTTTTGGTTTTGATGTGGTTTTTTTTGTTTTTGTTTGTTTGTTTGTTTTGCTATAAGGCCCATGTGCTCACTGGAGACAGAGAGAGAGAGAGAAAGTGAGAAATCATCCCCCCAGAGGGGATGGCCGTGCTGTAATCCCTTCTCTTCCATTCTCTTCTTGGGATTCTGGGCATGCACACACATGTGCCTGGCGTGAGCCTCAAGCTGCCGTGTCAGGACTCAAACACGGTCAACCGCATGGGAGTCCAGTGCCTCAACCACTTCGCCACTTCTGGTCTCACTTCTATGTACTTTTCATTTTTTCCCCATTCTTAAAAATGTGTCTATGTTTGTACCTAGAAAGTGGAAAGTCTCTATAGAAAATAGATATTTGTTAAGAAAACCCTCATGCCTGCAGCACTGAAAAATGATCGCTGTCTTGGCTGTCACAATTCCGCGCCCAAATCTCAGCTTCAGAATTAAGTACCTTCTCCCACAGTGAGATGACAGCAGAGTCTCAAAACTGAACGTGATCTTCGTTATCCAGCCCAGTTACTCCCAAACCTGAGTGTGCATTCAATTTACCTGGAGGGCTTTTAGAATGCAGCTTGTGGGCCCCCATCCTGGAGACTCTGCCTGAGGGCTGGATGCCTGAGGAGCCACTTTCCCGGCAGGTCCAGGGACCACGCGAGGGCCACCAATGACCGGTTGAGCTTCTTTACTTCTCAGTAAATCCCACTTTTCCCCACCCCTGATTACTCAGCTTCCTTCGAAGGCCTCTGACGGTGGGCACACGTTCGCGTCGCAGGTCGCTCTGAGACTTTGGAACACCAGGAAATAGCTGAGACCTGAAAACTGCAAACTCTGTCCTCTGTCCTCTAGGCTCACTGGAAGCAAGAATATTTCCTTAACATTTTAAAATATCACAGAGGCTAATTTGACACTTTTAAGATTGGTGCTTTAGGGGGCCAGCAAGTGGCATAGTGTTTAAGGCGCTGAACTCCCTCCCACATGAACAACTGCAGTTTGAGTCCCAGGCCCAGAGGCTTAAAAATCTTGCTGGGCATAGTCACATTCATGCCCCAGATCTTGTTGTGTGACCATCAGCTCTGACACACAATTTTTCACATTCCTTCCCTCTGTCTCTCTTTCTGACAAGCCCACACACCCTATGGCAAAAACTTTAAAAAAAAATGCCTTTCTGTTTTCTCCAGCTGAAATTAGGCAGACTTCCAAAGTGATTTGGGAAGCGTCCGCACTTGGAGTAATTGACGATTTTACAAGGCATGATCTGAATTATCTATGCTGAGAGGTCTGCATTCAGGGAGAAGTCTCTCTGTTTATTGCTTCTCTTGAAGTAATAAAAATGTGTTGATTTGGGTATAATGGCCCCCCAAAGTCCATCCCAAGCTCTAGTGAAGTTTAAAATCTTATTCCATTTTAAATGGGAAATTACATGTTGCAGTAGTTGTATGAATTTTGAACTGTCCCAGAAGAGTCAACTATCAATTCTCTCTATAATGGCAGAAAACTCACAACACACGTGTTGTCCTTAGTGTCTGCCAGATGTTGTGAATGCTATGACTTTTTCTTTAACAGGAACTTTAGATAATTTTCTGACTTGCCTAATTCCCAGAGAAATTCGCATTTTAACTACAGAAACGTGGGATGCTAACAGGGGTTAAAAAGATGGGTAGCCACATCCAACTATCCTGAAACGAGATCCCAACTATTCTACCTATTGGCCCCTAATCTGGGTGGGGGTGAGGGGTTGACATCTCTACAACTCAAAATGAGGCTATGACCTCATACTTCTCTCAGTTATCTGCAATGGTAAAATGTACAAAGCTACCAAAATATCGTGTTATCCAGGAGCTCTCAACGACAACCCTATGGAGACCTTTGCCGGAACTGCTAAAAACCAGAATGGGAGGGATTTGAGTTTCATTTCCTCCTCTTTGCTCTGGAGGTGCTACCAAGCAAGTCTATAGCCAGAGGGAGAAAAAGGAGAAGCAAGGATCTTCTATCATCACCGGAAAGTGCAGACAGTGAACAGCTGCCGCCCTTGGCTCCAAGCTCAGCCCAGCTCTGCCTGAGCTCAGCCCAGCTCAGCCCAGCTCAGCCCAGCTCAGCCCAGCTCTGCCCGAGCTCAGCCCGAGCTCAGCCAAGCTTAGTCATCACCATGGCCGGGGTGCGCTTCTGTTGTCTGGGCTGAGCTCCTCAGGCAGAACTTGGGCAGCAGGTTCTGTCCCCTGAATGGGCACTAGTTCTGCAAACACCAAGGTGAATAGCTCAAGTCCTTGCCTTCAAGGGGTTCATGAGGTCAGGCATGAGAAGAGGCTTGCCACAAGGGAATATGCCACAAACCACTGTCACCAAAGCATGCCATTGCATGCTGCAGGTAAGTGGTGTCAGTCTCCAGTCCACACCTCCCTTCCTTGAATTCTGGGCTAAATATAATGCCCACAATAAGACGCAGTACCCAACATGGCACTTCACGGATTTTCAGTTTCCTCCTCTGTGAATGCCGCGGAAGAGAAAGAGTCACTCCCATCCTAGATCTCCAGGCTGGTGGAAGCCAACATAAGGGTCATTTTCAACTTCCATGACCAGGTTATGCCAACTGTCCACATTTCTTCGGGTCTGTTCTTTTCTTCCACTTTGGTTTGTGGTAGTACCCCCTTAGCTGGACACTCCCCCTTCCAGCTCACTCTGATAACAGCCAGTGAATAATTTCCCTCAAATTCTTTTTTTTGGAGGGGGGGTGCGGAGAAGTTTTTGCCATAGGGTGCATGCACTTGCCAGACAGACAGACAGAGAGACAGAAAGCAAGAAATCACCCTCCGGGGGGATGGCCATGCCGCAATCCCTTCTCCTCCATTCTCCTCTCAGGATCTTGGGCACGCACAAACACACACCTGGAGTGAGTTTTAAGCCACCAGGTCCAGGACTCGAACCGCGGTCGACTACATGGGAGTCCAGCGACATAGCCATTATACTTACTGCTGGTCCCACTCAAATTCTTTTTCATTATGTTATTCTGTAGCTTGAAAAGCCAATTTATCAGGCCAACATGTGGCATAGTGCTTAAGACACTGAATTTCCACATGGTTGACCATGGTTCGAATACTGGACCCGGCAGCTTGACAAGTGCTTAGGATGCGTGTGCGTGTGTTCCCAAAAGCCAGAGAAGGCAATGGAAGAGAAAGGACTGTGCCATAGCCATCCTCCCTGAGGAGGCGATTTCTCACTTTCCCCTCTCCCTGTCTTTGTCTCTCGCAGGCAAGCACATGCACCCTATCTCCAAAATTACTTTAAAAATTAGTTAATAAATAAATTTTTAACAATCTCTAACTGTCACGGTCCCTCATTACCTCACATGAAACCTAATCTTGCTGCCTCCTTTCAGAACCCTCCACAGGCTGCCCTGCCCACAGCCCTAATGCCATTCTCACCCTTCACCCCACACACTACCCCATCACACGTGGCTCCTACTCAGGGTCTTCTTTCTCTGGTCACCAACATATTTTCTTCCCTTCTTTCCCATCTTAAAATCCTGTCCTAATTGCTCCCATCGTCTCTTCTCATTCCCTACCTAACTCCTTTTGAACACTACTTGGTTTATCCTGCACTAACTTAAACCTGTTGATGGGAGTCTCATCCATAGTTCTTTGTTGTTCTCTGCAGGACATTTCCAGTAAAAAAAATGAGAATGGGTTCATAGGCTATTTCTTTGGACATCCATCATTCTTTCTCCTCCAATATAAGACAAAGACCTTCCAGTTTACAGTTTCCACTTGGTTTTTTCAACAAGCTACACGTTGATCTCTGGAAGAAAACCAGGACACATATCCTTATGCTCATGTCACAGTCCCGCAAGCACTAGCTCTGAAGGGCAAATGATTCTTCTCAAGTCCCATAGCAAAGAAATGTACGTGCTGGGACCGACGCCCAGGTATTTCACCCTAACAGCCTCCCGTTCCTGCTTCACCTTCCTACTCCACACGTGTCTACATGATAAAAATTGTTAGTGGACCACCGACAATGCAGCCTGGTAAGGGGCAGTGTCCCGAGGCCACATTCAAATCGGGATTGAGTATTGTAAAGCCATGCTCTGAAGATACGGTGGGAAAGAAATCCAAAAATGAGAATTCACCAGTCCTTTCACTTCCAATTGATTTAAAGTGTGCATGAGAAAACACTTATAAATGCTAAAATTAAAAAAAAAAAAAAAAAAGCTTTTAAAAGAAAGTAGGGTCTCCCTGGCAGACTAAGAAAAGAGGAAACAGTCCGGGACTCACTTGGGAACGCTACAGTGTGCTGTCTGGTCAGAGCTCAGACTGAGGCCTCCAGGCCAACATCCACATCTCCACACCCCCCGCGGGAGTGGCCGGGAGCGATGGAGGCTGCCGAACTGGGCTCTAGCTGCTCTCGCCCTCTCTGTGTGAATTTAGGCTAATCTAAAGCCCAAGGTCCCACTGGGTCTTTATCTGTCCTGTAGTCAGGTTGAATGAGAAGGTCCCCAAGGTCTCTCTGGCTGTGACATTCTGAGAGTCTATGAATAGCAAGGACACAAGACAGGTGCGAACTGATCACCCCGTGGGAAGCTCACACCTGTCTCTCCCCAGCGTTTCCGCCCCTCACTTCCAGCAGCACCAAACTCCAGGCCCGGGCAGGGTCAAGTTGCCAATTTTGGAGCTGTTCAAGGACAGTTGCCCTTCTGCAGCCCGAGGCTGGCCTTCTTCCTCTCTCTGCAACTCCCTCTCCCTTGGCCTACTGAGATTTGCGTGCCACTAATTCATTTCTGCCTCTTTGCTTTTAGATAAAAATTACTCACAAGAACCAAGCGCCCATGATGATGGGGCCTCCCCAGAAGAGCAGCTTCTTTTCCCTGAGGAGGAAGAATCGTTCCAAAGACTAACCAGTGTGCCGGCCACACCGAGAGAGAACAAGAAACTGTTCCTGCACACTCACACGCACACACACACGCACACACACACACTTGCACACACACTCTTCTCCAACCAATGGAAGCAAAGCCACCCGTCAGGAAGAAAACCTCACCTTGCCATGCATTCTTTCTACTTCAAGAACTGCTACACCCTAATAGAGCCAGCGCCAACCAAACATTTCGAACGGACTTAGGGCCCACCAGAGTGTAGTTGGCTCGTGCCGCCACCTCCTCATTCCCAGGCCTTGAACAGGGCTTTCTGAGACTGGAGGAGCAAGCCCCCTTGCTTTCCATCTGCCCTGCAAGTTTTCTCGTAGACGCACAAGAAGAGTAGGCTGCAGGTTTCCTGCCTCTGGTGAGATCGGATGTGGCCAAGGGA